TCTGTCTTGCCCTGGGACTGCCACGGTCTGTCTGCTCCCACTGTGGGCCCCGTAGGTCAGGGCTCTCGACTGCCACTCTGGCCTTGCCACCGTCAGCGCCTGGCTGCAGCTGCTCCTCCCGTCCACTCGGCTGACAGCCGACAGCCTCCCCTGACCTGAGTGACGCCAGCGCCTGCCCTCCCCCCACCCCAAAGCCTCCACGGTGCTGCTGTCTCTGAGAACCCTGTGGGCTGGTGGGGACTGGATCTCACGTGAAGGAACCTTTCTGGCATGCCCCCTCTCTCGAGTGTCCGGTCCACACTCCGCATCTGCTGAGGCAGTTTCTGGCACCTCTACCTCGTGTGATGTGGGCTGTGGTTTTCTCACAGCAGGTGAACAGAACTTGCTCCAGGTGCTCTTCTTGGGCATCCAGTCCTGAGTCAGGGAGAAAGTTCTCCAGTGTAACCAAAGTTCTCCTTTATCCAGCATGCATTACTGCCCTCCTTGCCAACCGCCTTGCTCCTGCCCGCGCAGTCGTCACGGCCTGTGGCGCCTTTGCTGAAAGACTGTCTTTCTCATTCAGCAGAGCTGCTGCTTCCCCGTCAGGCCCCAAGGAAACCTAGGTTACCGGTCTGGTGGCCAGGAGGGGGTTGGGTGGGCCTTGAGGCAGGTGCCACCCTGCAATGCATCGGCTTGATGAGACTCCTGCAGGCACTGAGGCCAAAGTGGGATCCTCCCGCAGGGAAGTGGCCACTCCCATGGGCCCAGGAGGGTTATCGGGATGGAGAGATCTGAGGTCTGTGTACAGGGCACACCCGTCCTGGTGTCTCTGTCCCTGTCCCATCAGGGTGCTGGTGCTGCAGTGTGAGAGGCTTGCAGAGTTCTCTCTGTACCCTGCTCCTGCCCTCACGCCCCAGGCTGATCTTCAGCACAGTCCTCAACACAAACCACATCCGTGCTGTGCTGCAGTTGCTAATTGCCAGTGTTACACTTATGATTTGTTTTTCCGGAACAATTGGTGGCACCTAGCCAAGGCCCACTGGCTCCACAGAGCTATAATTGCCACTCCCTATATCCTGTGAATGTTAATGACACTGTGCAATACCGTCATTGCACCCCTTCCTAGCCCCAGAGAGAGTTACTAAAGATGAGGGTGTCCATGATTTTAATGCTACAGTGTCCTGTGAATTCCTGTCACCCCACTTGCCACCGACAGAGGAGCATCTGGCCAGTGAGCCCCCCCAAGCCCCATCCTGAGGGCCAGCTTCCAAGGCCCTCTGGGGCCAGCTGTCTTAGGGTCAGAGCCTGTATTCCTAGTGGATTTATTGGGAGTGTTCGCAGGAACACTGGTGAGGAGGGGGCAGCTGGGTGAGGAAGGGAACCAGTTCCAAGTGTTCGCTCCGTTCTGCAGGGGAGCTCAGGCAGCGTGGGGACCATAGGATAGCTGTGCCTGGTCCCCCGAGGCAGGCATCCCGCAGCAGTGGGGGTCCCGCAGCTGGAGACAGTGCCGAGTGAAAGTGTGTGCAGAGGGCAGGGGACGGGCTGGAGCACTGACGGTGCTTCTACAGTTTTGAGGAAAGAAACTTCTGAATAAGTCATGGGTAAAAAAATGAAATGATGGAAATTAGAAAATACATCCAACTGAAAAATAATGAAAACACTGTCTATTGAAACTGATGGGATACAGCTAAATCAGTATTTGGAAAGAAATTTACAGCCTTGAGTACTTATATTAGAAAAAGGACAAAGTATGAAAATTAATGAGTTAAGCATCTAACTTAGGTTAGAGAAAGAACATTAGAATAAGCTCAATGACAAGAAGAAAACATAAGAGTAGAAATTATGAAAAGTAAAAACAAAGGCACAGGGGAGAATTGATAAGTCTAAACTTGTTTCTTTAAAGACTTAAAAACTGACACACCTCTGGCAAGATTGATCAAAGAGGGGAAAAAAGTCCAAATAAACATTATAAAGCACAGGAAAGACAGAAGAGATTGAGAACTAGCAGCATATTTTGAACAGCTTATGCCAATACAGTGGGAAACTTAGGTGAATGGATAAATTATTAGAAAAATATGAAAGACCAAATCTGATAGCAGAAGAGAGAAGAACCCTAAGTGGTTCTTTATTGATCACTTTTGTACCGTGCTCACTGGCCGCGAAACCTTGCCCACAGCTGGCACTCATAGTCCGCACGATAGTTTGCGCTGTGCATTGACGACGAATCCGTTTTGCTCTGGTGTGATGAGGAAAGCTTTAAAGCACTGAAAGCTTGTTTTACTTTACAGGCAGCTTTAGGAAAATAACTATAATAACTCCTCCTAAAGACTTGTTAAAAGGTCACAGATCCGAAGTAACTTATTAGCTGAACATACACATTGCAACTGCAGAGATAAAAGTAAAAGCTTTTGGCTGTCGACTAAAGTCAGCTCAGCTGTGCACCTTCATATCACAGCTGTCGGCTAAAGTTGATGCTTGAGTTCATCTGTGGCTATTGACTGTAGTCAACGCTGGTACCGAAGTGGTTAAAGCATGAAAGGGCCAGGTGTGGTGGCTCACATCTTTAATCTTGGTACTTTGGGAAGCTGAGGTGGGAGGATCACTTGAGCTCAGGGGTTCGAGACCAGCTTGGGCAACATAGCAAGACCCTATCTCTACAACAATTTTTTAAAAAAATACTAGCTATGTGTGGTGGTGTGGTCCTATAATCCCAGATACCCAGGAGGCTGAGATGGAGAATTGTTAAGCCCAGGCGTTTGAGGTTGTAGTGACCTATACTCACACTACTGTGCTCCAGCCTGGGTGACAGAGTGAGAACTTATCTCTATGGGAGAAAAATGCATTAAAGAAGTTGAGTCAATAAACAATATTCCCACAAAGAAAATACCAGATTCTAATGGTCTTGTGTGTTAGTTTTCTACCTAAAATACAAGGAAAGATCATTGCAAACTTAAATTCTTCTGGAGAATAAAAAAGAATGAACATTCTTTAGTTAATTAGACTGTATAATCTTGACACCAACATTTTTAAAAAGAATATAAGAAAGGAAGATCATAATTCATACTCATTAATGAGTGATGCAAAACCCTAGACAATATATAAGCAAATCAAATCCAACAGTATACAGAAAATATAAGATTTATTCCAGTAATGCAAGGTTCAACATCAGAAAATCTATTGCTATAATTTACGTTAACGGAATAAAGGGGACTATTGAAGTGATCACCTCATGGCTGCAGTGAAGACATTCAATAAAATTCTAATTTTATTCATGATAAAAGTTACTAACAATCTAGGAATTATTAACTTGATAAAGAGTATCTCCAAAATATCCTATGCAAGCATCATATATCATGGCAGAATTTAGAAAGAATTCCCTTTAAAATTAGGAAAAGACAATGATTCTTGTTATCAGTACTTATTTTCAAAATTGAACTTCGGGGCCTAACTAGTTCAAGAAACGGAATTTCACTTCACGAGGGCAGAGGTTTTATCTATTTTGTTTACTGCTATGTTCTCAGTGCTTAGAACAGTGCTGACAGACACGTGTGAGCATTCAGTGAGTCCCTCCTGAATTAAGACAAACTAAATACAATATGTAAGGATTAGAAAAGA